CACCGCCGACCGGCATTAATAAGTGCTAATCTAGGTTTAGCGTTAAAGCATCATTCGTTTCCTGCCCTATGCTTTTAAGTGACATTTTAATTTGTTCGCCGACTTTAAGTAGCCACATCCTCATTAGCCGTTTTGTTAATATTTACCCAGTCGCCGCCACTTAACTCCACTTCTGGAGTTACCTCGATATTTTAACAGACCATTTTGTCTCTATTAGGTGAGCCATTTATTTCAACACGCATATCGCAATAACTGTGTCACGCCCTCTTCTTGTGTGGTTAATTTTGGCAGTCATTAAATGTGCATATATCAGATATGTTTATTTAGGGTTCTTAGCATTGTGATACCGAAATGATAATTAGATTACACCAAAGTAAAGTACCAAGTAGTTACAGATTGTATTATTGTATTTATGAAAAGTAAATGAATTTAGAGATCTTTTTAAGAATGTTTAAGTTTCTTGAAAGTTAAAATTCTATATACATTTATGGTTATAGTTTACGTATGAAGTGAGTGAACATTTATTTTAAAATCTACACATATTTGGAGACAATCTATATTATAATACGTGAATGTTCTTAACATTGGTATGATGTGAATCGATTTTCTTACAAACACAAAAGTCGTTACGTCGCCGTTACAATGATAATTAAAAACATAACCAGTCGAATAGCGATACTTAAAGTTTCTTGCACAAAAGGGGTCATGGTTTGTTTGCGCCGTAACTCGGGGCGCCCCCCGCTGTCGTAGCCATTGAATTTTCATCAGTGTTGATAAATTGAAACAAAGTGGAAATTTGAGTCCGAAAGTTGCCGGGAACTGTGTACGAAATTCGGGCATGAATCCATTAATACTCAGTTAAGATTCTGAATTAACCCGTTCGGATATTCAGCTCCACTGCTGAGGCTGAACCACGTCACAGAGCAATTAATTCAAACGTCAAAATAGAAGTTTCTGCGTTGAAATACAAAAGAACGCATAACGATTCGAAGGGATTCTATGTTATTTGAAAGTATTAAAGAATAATGTACAAATGCGCTAAGTCAACCCTTTGGTATGAATTTTTCCCCGTCTAAAATTATATAGTATAATGAACCAGTGGGAAGTAAGTTAGCATTAAGTATTCGTATTTCCAGAGCTGTCTCTGTCAAGGCAGTTAAAATTTCACTTGGCTAAGCAAAATTTTCTGTCCGCTGCAAAAATCTTCCCCTTTTTAGGGAGAGGGGAGCAGCGAGCGAATTCTTGCATAAAATTTACATCGAGCGGTCCATACAAATTACCATTTCACTTCTTACTCTGATTAAATGTTGTAGAAAAAATATTGCTCTCTAAATGGAAGAGAAAATTCTCGGTTTTCGACTCATTAAAATTGATGTTTTGTTTTTTTTACCGACGCCGCCCGCCCAAGAGTGATTTCTGCGCTTTTGCGTTTGACTTTTTTATAAACCACGGCTAGATGCTCCCTTTTCGTGTTTAGGTAATTTATTAATTCGTTTCGGATCTAATTTTTAGCTGGCACTTTGATGGAAATACTCGTGATGACTGCATTTTTCGCTTAACCCTATAATTCTCCTAGAGCCGGAGAGTATTTAGTTGTAACGTGTGAAGTATCGCGCTAAACTTGGCAGGGGAAGCGAAGATCGTCCAAAAAAGGTGTGTGTTACAACGTCTTTCGCGCGGAAGGGTGAGAAAACATTGGGAGCGGAGTAAAGATATTTGGCAGACATCTACAGTCTAATGATCCTCATGATTGCGGTAAAGTGTCGCTATAAAACGTCTAGATGTTGCCAACTTGGAAAAAATCCGTTGCCTCTGTAAAGTGACTATTTTTCGTAGCAGAAACTCGTTGCTGCGGGACAATTGCCTTCAAGGGGGCTTTAAGTAGTCGAGAATTGATGCTTCCCTTCTTCACAACAACGAAAACAAACTGCTGTCGTGTGAAATTGAATTTGTTGATAGGAAAAGTTCTATCCTATTTTTCGCTTTTGCATATCAATCGATTTGAATTGGAGCGCTTTTGGGTTGGCTGTAAAGTATTTGTTATTGTCAAGGCCGGCGGGGTATGGGTATGTATAATGCGTGGAAATATTTCCAACTCTACCGAAGTCTGCATTTTCTTTGTACGTACATCATAAAGACGGGCAAGGACAGTGGAATCGGAACGGTGGTTTTAATTAAAACAGCTAGTGGTGGAGTATAACAAGTAGGAAACGTTTGAAATAAGTACACTTCGCTTAAGCAAACTAACCGTTAATAAATGGGACTTGTTCGAATCCATTTTCCTTTAAAAGATTTTATTAGCGGAGCCGGGAGGCATCAATTCTGAATTTATAATTTAATTAATCAGCCGACGTTACATTGAAAATATTTAATTTCGCCACCCGGCACACCGGGGTACACCGAGCCGCTGTTAATCTAACTTTCCGTTTCCTTCGAGACAATACAATTTCAACGGAACTGAACTTTTAAACATACAATTGTGGATCGGTAGAATAACTTTCGGGAGCTTTCGTTGTTATTTATTTATACGTAACAGTGAATCGTATCGTATTATGGTACCCTTATGGTACCTTTACTTGGTCGACGAACATATTATTATGTGGTTATAATTTTTCTCATATTCAATATTCATTGTCAATGTAAACTCGAGGTACTGGAAGATACTTTTGCTAACTTTTCCATATCATAAAGCGTTCTAGGTTCGTTTTAAAATATACATAGACAGTCAAAGCATCTATTATAAACAACTCAATAAAGCTCAGCTGTCTTGAGGAAGAACCATTAATGCCCAATTTACGTCACTCAATTGTAAACTTTATAAGAGCTACTGAATAAAGAACGTATAACAAATTACATGATGCTGTCTAATTAAAACATTGACACAGCTGGTGGTTCAAGGTAGTAGTTTTAGCCAGAATCAGACAGGAAGGCGATGGTAGATTGTTTCGATGTTCAGTTGCGTACTCTTCAATAATGAACCCGAAATCCTGAACGACCGCACAAAAACTCGATACGGAGGAGCCACCGACGGTGGCGGAACCTCGCAAAGTAATATAACACTTTTGCGTCCGTCGAATAAACGTTTCAATATTCAGCGGGTTCATTAATCATGGTAATTGACAGGGAGGGGGGACTTTAGCCGATAGCCACTCCTGCATGGGCAGTGCGCCCATTTGTTTTCATATCGGCCGCTTTCTGAATTTCGCCATGCTAATGTGTTGATGGATGGCGGTGTTTTATATCTTTTCACTCTTGCAGTCGTGCGATTTTGTCGTGGAAATTATTGACCGCCGCCTAATTTATCTGATAGACCGTAAGTTTAGACATCTTCGAAATACTCCGATCAGCAAAAGCGATTGTAATTGTCCATCACTTAAATTAATTTAAGTACACGGTAGACTTGAAGACATACAGTTTTTAAGAGATATTTTTAGACAAAATGAATGCCAAGGGAACTCAAAGTGTAAAGACGTTTATAAAATGGCAACTAAATAGGGCAATGAAAATTTCAATCGATGGAATGAATTGGAATTTGAAACGATTAGCGTAATTCAGAAAGTCGATGTTGTAACAGGAGTCTTCGGGCGACGGTTCCGCTGTGGGGTATCGTTAGCCCGGGCGAAGTTATTTGCTAATGACGCCGAAGTTTTGTATTTGTTGGGTTTCGGTTCATCCGGGACATTATTCATTAGTGCCGAGGGTGAAGCCGGGGCGATTTCGTGAGAAATAACAAATGACGCTGAATCGGTGCCCACGTTTATTTTTGCCCACATTTTCGCGAGCGTTCCATTATTCCGAGCGCCTTAGCTTTTAATAACTTATAATTTACCCGGAGTGGAATAAGGAAACCATTTAAGCTCGACAATTATACATTGAAAGCGTAGATCAATCTAAAACAAGGGGCGTTAACAATGTGGAACGATGAAGGCTGGGATTTCGTTTTGTGCCAATAGAATGGCGCGAACTGAAAAGAATTTTCAATAAGTCACTCCTTGAATGGCTCTGGACAGAAAGGTAACTTCAAGATCTTAAACTGAGACGGCGGGATTAAGAATAAATTGTCAAATGAAATGCCCCTTCGCTCGGCAATCCGATCTTTTTGTGTCTGCGTCTCTTAATACCGGGCCTGCTTACTGTTTAAAAGGATATTATTGTCTCTTAGTGAATTAAATCTCTGGAGTAAGAGAAGACTCTCGTTAATCATTAATGGAGCATTAATCATAAATCAAGACACCAGGCGGCTGTTTCCCTCCGACTGGCGTTTACGTTCCCGTCTAAGTAGAGAGAGGACCAGGAGGATTTACTTGACAAATTACTTTTTCGCTTTCCCCGTTTATAGGGTGGGGGAGTACTCGGCCCGGTATCGGTAAAGTATCGGTTTGTTTACGAAGTTTCCCGTAGTCGTTTGGGAGCGATTTTTATTAACTCTCAAGGCTTCGGATGCGGGCGTTTCTCGCGCGCTGCGCATTTTTTTCGTCCGCTCTGTTCTCCGCAGCGGGGGCGTTCGTTTTACGTTCGGGGCTTTATGCCCTCCGCTCGGTTTTATCACTTGTTTTAATACTTTCCGATTAAGTATTTTGATATGGGATTACGCTCGCCGTAAGCCGTGCGATTGGACGGGAAGCGTTGGGAGCTTAATAAGTCCCTGTGAACGGTACAGCGCGCGTCTTATACTTGCTGTGATTATATTATGGTAGTTTGAAAGTGACTGGCTCTGGCAGCCGACTATAACCTTCGTGCTGCTGCAGTTAATATTCATATTTCTTATACATATAGTTAGTATAATCGAGTTCGCCTAGACATCCCCGATCAATCTCTTAGCCACAGTTTTCGCTGTGATGATTATAAAAAAATAATTGTCAAAACGATAAGATTTAACTTTGACTGCACCAATTTTCCCTGAACTGATATTAGCGGCCAACGTCGAAACGAAGCCCAACGGATAATGAAATATCCACGACTGACACTCCGAGTTTAACACGGACCCGCGTAATTGGGCAATGTGGCCGTCATTTGAGCCAACGTTTGCGCAAACTCTTGCGAAAGCCGTCGACGGTCGCGGCTCTGGCTCTAACGCCCACGCGGTGCTCGGAGGCACGCCCGAGCTTGGTCTGTTGCTGTGCGATTTATAATTTCATTGCGCCGTCCGAAGGTTGGCCGCCTCTGCGGTTCGTCTGTGCGCGTGTTCAATGGCTTGTCGGTTCGAAATACAAAAACTAGAACACACGCTAAGCGAGAGACATACCCAGAAAGTGATAAGGACGCTTCGACGAGTGATGAGTGGCGACAAGCCTGTCGCGTACTGGTTATCGCGCGTGACATTCTTTTCTAAATACAAGAAATTTGGAAATTACGCTACGACGATGCGAGCATTCGTGGCGACATAAAACCGAAGATCAGGAATGGAAGCGTCTGATACAACTCGTCTCGCGGAGTCGGAGTTCCTACCTTCGCGGTTAAGAAACCAACGACTGGGGAGTCGAGTCAACCTGAACGTCGACTAGTGATAAACAAGGCGTGGGTTCCGCTAGCGATATGCGCGCTATGATCGTAAATATTCGCTTGTTTATTATTCGCAAATTAATTGCGCGTTTATGACTAGTCCAAGGTTTGTGGTCGATTAGCGACGCCCTTTGCTTCGCGTTGCCTAAGGCCGTTACGATATGGGGTCTAGCTTCGAACCAGTTTTAGAGGGTTAGAACATGTAGTTCAAGAAATATCATAGCCGCCACTCCTGTTTCGAGTTAGCTTTGGCCACGAGGATCAACTGGATGTAACTATCAAAGTGTGTTGCTTTCCTAAGTCTTTTTTTATTTCCTTAATAAAATAGTCTTACGTTTAATATTTCTTACTTAACTCTCTCCTGTCTTCTTCCAAAGAGCAAGTACTGCAAGTAAGATTTGTAAACGATTAAAAGAGCTGTGAGTAGATTTGAAGGTGCCTTGGGTCTACCAAGACAAGGTAAACGCTCCCATGCAACGGTTATACTACGCGCTCGAACCGCGTTTGAATCGCGGTTCGAACCCGGCGAAAATAAGACGCCCAATCGCTGCGGAGTGCGGCTGGAAGGTCGGGCCGCGTACAATTTGTGCGGCCCTGATAATGGGGCATTAGAACGTATAGCACAACGGCAATACGCACTCCGACGGCACTCTAGTTTCGTAAGCGAGGCCGGACGGTCAGGCGTGAGCTGCGCGCCGCAGGTCGGGTTCCGCATGCCGATACGCTATTGAGAGTTGTCTTATGGTACTGGGTTCTGTACCCAAAGGGTAAAACGGGACCCTATTACTAAGACTCCGCTGTCTGTCTGTCTGTTACCAGGCTGTATATCATGAACCGTGATAGTTAGACAGTTGAAGTTTTCACAGATGATGTATTTCTGTTGCCGCTATAAAATACGAAAAAACGGAACCAAACATATTTTAGTGGGGCTCTCATACAGCAAACATGATTTTTTTCCCGTTTTTATGGATAATTTGGTAGAACTTGATAATGCGTGGTATGGATGGTACGGAACCGTTCGTGCGCGAGTCCGACTCCAACTTGGGCGGTTTTTTAAAACGACGACAGCGGTGGCGTGTTTATGATTATGATTTGTGTGGAAGGGGTTGGGTAGTAAGTTTCATCGACCACTGCGACCTAGAAGATTATTTGTATTCTTCAATTTATACAGCTTCCTCCAAACCAACCTTATTGCTTAAAGTTCAGTCGATACTAGAAGGCTTTATATCTGGCTACACTTTATCGTATGAACGGAATATTCGTCCAAAATGCGCGCGCTTCGTAAAACGTCTTGAGCAACCGAACAATGACTCTTAAACGATGCATTGTCAAAAATATCTTACGATGACTCGTCTCGTTGCGTTTGCAAAAATAATTGTTCAAATTAGGACAGTGATTGATGTCATGCCGTTTCTTTCGAATGTTGTATGGGTAGGCAGTAAGTCACGGAAATCGTCAGGTATATTTTGGTATCTGCTAGTGTGGATAGCAAATTTATAAATTTCCAAATCTATGTCTATCGGATATTGTTATAAATACTTCTATGTTTAGATTGACGTTTTGACTGTCGTTTGCAATGTCAATCGCACTGGAAAATACTCGATTTCCGATCTACGTGCGAAGTTCCAATGTTCATTATGACGCCATTATATACGTTTCATGGTAAGCGACCTGGTAGTCCAGTGAACTAGGATGTATTATAGTCGAAAACAGATCAATTGCGCTAGAGTCAATAAAATCGGTGTCGAGTCTTGAAATTGAAAAATATTGAAGGTATCTTAACCGCGACTGCGATGGGACCACGTAGCTGTATTACGTATTTTGCCCACTGTCTGACAGAACCTGCTATGCAGTGGGAGATACATCCACATGGATAGGAACACCTTACAAACCGTTTAATACGACGCCTCGTTGATTTGAAAGGCCCGTAATCGGGAATATTGAGGAGTAGCTTCGCCTGCGCAGAATTAATACTTCGAGTGGCTTATTTTCTTTTTCAAGGTCCTATCTATCCTTATATTAAAATTCATCAGAATTGGTTCTGCGGTTTAGTCGTCAAGGCGTAACAGACAGAAAAAAATTATATAAGAGACTCTTGTACATTTATAAATTATAGCCTATGTTATTCCGTCCTGTAGTTTTTGTGTGAAATAGTAAAAGACGTCCATACATACATACATACAAACTTTCGCGTTTATGATATTAGTGAGGAAGCAAGGATTACAAAACGATGCATTCGGAAATAAACCCGGCGACCTATAGCCCCACTTATTGCAAAACGTCGGCAGCTTTAAATTGACGATTTAGTGAGTAAAATTTCACGTACGCTAACGTGATAGCGCGAGCAAGACACGGAACACGCGAATAAACGCGAGGCGGCCGTTAACTCGCTGTCTACGTGTTTAAATTCAAAGTTTTTGGAGGTGCAACTCATAATGTTGAAGAACTGGGAATAGAATTTATATTAAAATACAGTAAAGTAACAGCCTATACATGTCCCACTGCTGGGCAAAGGCCTCCTCTGTACAGAGGGTATCAGGGCATAGTCCCCCACACGGCCCCACTGCTTATTTGCGGACTTCACATATCTTCGGCATATTTCTTTTTGTTATTTCGAAGAATATGCAGGTTTTCCTACATGTTTTTCTTCACCGCCGAGCACGTGATGATTCACCGCTTAAAAATAACAATTTCATTGGTGCCGGTATCGGGGACAAAACTCAGGTTGCTCGAGTATAATGATTTTAAGGCGAGGTCCCGGACACTGAGCTATCTAACTACTAAATATAAATATATAGAAATTAAAAAAAAAATCGTGTTTCTCTTTCATGTGAGCCTCTCTTACATAAATAAATTGTTTCTAATCTAAACAGTCAAATATGTTCCTAATTTGTAATAATTTTAAAACTCAATTTTTGGATTTTTGAAGTATTCAAAATATGAACAAGTAATGCTAACTAAGCTGTCCTCAATTTGGACCATTCAACTGGAGATCATATTATTGCTCCTTAAACTTACGATCAAATGCTTTAGAAACCTCAGTAAATATAAGAGTCAATCGTACAGACATATAAAGAAATAAACATCCTGTTTAATCCGAATATAAACATTAAGGACGGCTCAAGAATCAGATGGCCATTTAGCTGGGGTTCATTCCACAATCAGCCAACCCCGTTTCGCCTAATAACCGCAATGAAAATAAAATACGTCTGAAAGGTTATTCCGTGTCGTTCGCGCCTCGCGCTTAATAAGAGAAACACGTTCATTTTTTTTAATTATCGTGATTTATAAGCTCAGGTACGCTAGCCTTTTTACCATTTTTATTTTTTTTAAACCTTTTAAAATTCAAAACTGCCAGCACGCGACACGAAGAAACGTCACTAATGTACATGCGATCTTTTAAAACGCTGAAAAGGTACAGTTGTCGAGTTAAGAATTTGGTAAATACAATCGTACGGCGACTCAGTTGTGTAGGTAATAAATTACGTTTTATATTATGAACAACTTTACGTTTGCCTCTTCATATAATTAAGTCGTTGACGTTTTAAGTCCGTCATAATTAAGTCGTTGCCAAATATTAATAAACAAAATTGGGTTTTGAATTATCTAAAAAAAAAAAAAAAAGAAATATAACTTCTCTTTAGCAATACTGACATAATTAGTTTGAACTCTCGCTCCCCGCTAACTAACTTTTTTACGACTAACGACTGTGTCATTAATTTTAAAAGTATGTAGGTAGTTGATGAGTTTGAAGAGATAAAATTTACTTTTACGCTTATTAAAAACGTAAAACTTTTTAATGACGTTCAAAAATCGGCGTAAAAGCGGATTCAATGATGCTTGGTGTGCCTCAATATTTACTGTATGTATTTATATATACACAATATTTATTTAACACAAAATTATCTTGAGTCGTGACTGTTTATTGTATGTCTAAACAAGGTCCATAAAACTTACTTTAAAAATCAAATACCCTCCAGGATTGATGTCCTGTATTTATTACCAACAGATTTTGATGCGTTAGTTGAAATCGCTCTTGTATCTTTTATTTAATCCTTAAACTATTAACTGAATGACTTCGGCCCACAACAAACACAACCCGAACCCAGGTTTTGCGTTTTCAAGAGCTGGTGATATTTCAAGCGACACGAACGAAACCTTGAAATTTAAATACCATTGTTCCTTTCGACCACGCTTTGCGAAAGCAAAGATGAGGTTTTAAATTTTAAAACGTCTCGAAAGGACAATTTGTAGCAGACGGCAACCGTATTTACTTAATATATTTTTTTCCAAGATGCCGGCTAACGAGTCGGGAAATATGTAAAATTTGTTTGCAGTGTCGAATGACCGATTCGCATTTAAATCGGGGAACCTCGTGGGCGACTTTTTCTTTAATATAATTGACGATTGTGATTAAATGGTTTTAAAAAAATGCTACAGTACAATACCTACTACAGAAAAAAAATTCAAAATAGAAAACAAAAATATGAACTAGTTTAACTTAAAAATTGTAACCATTGCAGACATTTCAAACCAATTTATATTTTGGCAGAATGTGGCGTGTAAAAGAATCCGTAAAGGTCGGCATTTTAGCACGGCAATTATGTCGCTTGTTTATTTTTGTATTATTATATTTGTATATATTTTGGATTTATAGTCTCCCAATCGATGTAACGTCTTTATTTCAAACAATTAAGGAGGTTGAGTTTCTTCTGGGTCACTGCCTGAGGAAGAGTTCTAAAATCCTTGCATAGCGGCCTTCGTATTAAACTAACGCTACGAGACGTTTGCGACAAACACGAAATCGAAGACAAACGGATTGTCAGTGCTCAAGGACTGCTAGGTAATGTGCAGGAGATTGTAGACCTTGCTGAATAAAGGTTGCCATAGAGACAGAGTCAAAATTCTGGTGACCTCGCTTCTCACGGTTCCCTCTCTTAATATTATCAGTGTAACGGCCAATAAAAGTCGAGTACTCTAGCCGCACAAATTGCACGTACGTGCGCCGTAAGTAACTGCTTAAAACAAATTGGATTTTTAGAGGAACTGTCTTTGCACACGGAATGGTAACTTCACGTTTGGCTTGAATTTTTGCTTCCGGTGCCAGTTAAGTGTTCCTCAGCGATGCTTTAATGCAGTTGTGTGATTAAGTTAGTTACTTAGATTTAGTATTGCAAAAAACGTTGATCTACTGGGGCGAAATATCTGTTTGCGCTGCGTTTTTACCCAGTCAAATGACTGATGTAAAGTATTGAAATATATTCTGACTTATCTGTATTGTTACAAAGTAAGGGACTCGTGAATCATGGCTCATCATACGAACGATGAAACGGAAATAGAAGCGGGTTTATTACGACTTATTATGCCCCGACAAAACTCCAATGGCGTTTAAATCTGACCACAATTGGATAAATGGCTGCTCGCAGCAATAATTGATAAGACGCAGTAAAAAAAAAATGAAACACCTATTTATATTCGATGCCAACTTTACGGGTGACTCACAAGGTGCCAGTGGAAACATGAACAGACATGTTAGTCGGACAGGACACAACAAGTGTGAACGAATGTTACGGAACGCTAAGCACTAAGAAAGCAATTCCTGTGATGATGGACTGAGCAAAAAATCGTTGGACCTTTAACCTGACCCATGCAAATTATCGCCATCCAGATAACCGAGACAAAATTGCCGATGTAATTTTTACTCACGCGACCATTGTTCTATAACAGC